AATTGACCTAGAATGTTGAAAGAGTTACCTCAAATACTCAAGAATATAGACTGACTAGAAGGAATAAAATCAGATCACAAAAATCGAGTCATAATGTAATAGTAATTTCAAAACTTGCAAAAGGGTACCCCTATTGAAAAGGCCATATCTCAGTCAATATTAATGCCAGAGTCAGTTTTACATAAATTTGCATGAACTATAACATATATTTTTTTCATAATTTTCTGAGGTCACTTTACAAGCACTGGTCCACTTGACATGGAATGACCAACCAAAGAATGACACACAGGAAGCTGAAAATAGACATGTTGTTGAAATTCTTATGTTTATATAGCAACATTCTTGTGCATGTCCCAACTTAAAATACATCAGTGTTTAGGAAATCATGACAAATGTTTGAAAATGCTTAAAATATCTATAATAGATATATAGATGACTACTGAGATCAAATTTTTAAAAACTTTCAAGACAACTCCATTCAAATCCCCACACTAAAACAATGGTTGATGTCGTCGCTGGCATAGCCAGTACTAGCACCTGATAATTGGAATGAGTAGAAACATAACTAACAGTTAATTTTAACGCACCAAATAGCATGGAGAAACCTGTTTTAAAAGATCTGATAGTAGTGACATCATCACTAATACATTCTGTAATAAAGAGTAGAACACAAACAGATAAACTACCGGTACTATCTTTTTAGGATTTGATTAGCACACTGTATGGCGTATGCCCGACTTCATTAGCTCAGTCGGAGAAGGACGTTAAACCCCATTTCATTTCATTTCCTATTTCGTAGGATCTGGAAGGGGTTTTAAATAAACCTCATGGTTAGGCAATGGAATGGTCTGATAAGTAATGCTTTACGCAAGGCACTTTTGACCAGCTCGAACATGTCACTTGTAAAACTGTTGTTGATTGATTAAATAAATGGTCAAGAACACTCAGTGAATATCTGCCTGACTTTACATGAACCCTGTTTTAACATCCATTGGTAGCAGGTGAGATTGTGAAGAGGAAGCGAGCAAAAGTAAACCTTTAAACTATATTAAAAATGTATAGCTTAATCAGTTTGTATGCATTCAGTGCTCTTTTGAGAAATAAAATCTCTTTTTTTGTCTTCAAGAAACAATACTTTTAGACTTAGAACTCTGAATGTAACCGCAATTTAAATATGACCACAAGTTTTATGAATTCTTGGGAAATATTTTATTCCATACATGTATATGACTTGATCAAAGAAAAGATCTTTGTATTTGTATTCCTCAGGGCACATTGTGTTTTGTAGCTACTGTGCTATCTTAAGTTATAAGAACATGATACAGTTGTCAGATACAGGAAGAATTCTTGAAAGATAGAATATTATTTAGCTAGACTTAAAGGAAACAATAAAACTTACAATAGATAAATTACAAAAGAGAGAATAGAAATATAATATATGGGTGGATATAGATGATTTGTTCATGAATTATTATATGAAAATCAATCATCACCAGAAGAGCGAGAGTCAGGCAGTCTGGGCCATGTAAGTCAGAACTGCTTTGTTGTTACTGATGAATTGTGTCTCACAGAAACCAATGGTCAAGACATCCGTTCCAACCCTTTTTATTCACATGTCTAATTTAGCTTTCCTTTCATTTATTTACAGAAGGGAGTATTGATTTTAAGAACACAATCAACGCAAATGAAAAATATTTTGACATTTTCATTTCAACTTTGTTGACAGCTACAAGACAAATAGAAAATGGAGGATATTCTAAAAGCTGTGCTTCATGATAAAAGTTGATGTACACTTAGCGGTTTTATGTAAGCTTCTATAAGGTCTACAAATTGAATTTATAGAAGGTTAATCAATTTGATTTACTTTCTTTGATGAGAATTGTTTTGTGTCTTGTTCGGTTTGATTGAATTGGCAATTGAAGGAGCAAGAAGAATTAGTTCTGACGCAACACGAACACAATGTCCGATTTCTTTTCCAATTGTAATAAAGAGTCGATTTATTTGACCAGTTTATGTTTGTATGTTTCGTTTGATGTTTATACAAAGTCGGTTTAAAACACATAAAAAGAACCCTTAATACATTTCATTTTCTATGTCAAATTCAATAGACCTTTCGTGATCAAAGATATTTTATGTTGTTAACCAAATGAAGTGTGTTTGGAAAGCCATATCTGAACGAAAGTATCCATTAGGGATTGTTATATAAGATATTAAATTTTTAAAATATTATAAACCATTACTTTGAGTTAATGAATTTAAGTTGATACTTGAACATGTGTCTATAAAAAAAAAGTACCATTGGTCTAAAAGGTCATTCAAACTGAATTCAAAGTCTATAAAAGTAAAAACAAAGCAGTGTTAGGTATTTTCAAAAGAGCACAAAAGTTATCTAGAATGTGACACCAACCATTTGTATGGCAAGGCTTAAACTAAAACAAAAGTTTTGCAGTATTTCTCCTTGAATTGAGTGAAACTTGATCACTGATCAGCTGTACCTCTAAAAGCTTTATGCCATTTCTGAACAATTTTGCATTGTTCTTAGTTTAGATCAAGTCACTTGTATTCATGTTCAACCAATCAAATTTATATTAAATAAAACTTCTTATATTTAAAAAAAAACCAAAAGACTCCCTAGATATCTTTCTTAAACAATGAAGTTCAGGGTGGTTGTTTGTTCCTTTTTTAACACAATAAAAATGCTCAAGGACAGTCCAGGGAGTGAAATATTAAGTTAGGTCCAATGAACAGAAATTCATGGCAGCTAGACTATTTTAATTCAATATTTTTCTCTTGTCCGAATCCTTTAAGACAATAATTCATTATTTCCTAGCTAAGTTTTATTTATTCTTCTAACATAGGGCTTAGTAGAGACAGATCATCAAAGATATCCATCTAGGATGGATGCAAAAACTTTCCTGTTATCAGAAAGTTGTTATTGATGGTTGATGCAAAAATTTGTAGTAGCTTTATCATAGATTGAATGTTACACTGACAATCTTAGATTATCTAATGTTAACAACAGTTTGTTTATTCAGGCCATTAATCATATTGTCTTTCTGGTTTCATTCTATCGATTGACCTCTTCAGATACGAACAATTTCTTTTATTGTTCATTAATAAATGTCATTACAGTAATTCTTGATACCACTATAATGTCATAGGCTCTTTTTAAAAAATTAGGCGATGAAGCAATAAACGTAAGAATATAATGATTCAACCTTTACCTTTTAAAAAACAAACTGTGAAAATATGTACCCATAATGTTGTTATAATATCACTATTTGAATGTGATAATGTGACTATAATCCTTCGCCAGAAGAGTAGAAATAAAACTTTAACTAAAAATATTAAAATCTTCAAAAAGTACAAATATTTCTTTCTGTCACTTTATTATTTCTGCAAAAAATGTATGAGACAGGATTAAAACTAAATTCAGTTACTGGAGCAGAACAGTCCGTTTCACATAGAAATGGATGTTCAAAACACCTGCCTTCGTCACTATTATGTGATTTTTAAAAATAAAAATGAAGTTGTCTAAAACTGGTTTCAGTTTTTAACACAACAGTAGAAAATGTATTTATTGTCAAAGGAAACAGCTATCCCAGTGTCTTGTCACCCAATAAGATTAGATGCATGTAATGAGGGTAAAGGGGTTCTAATCTGAAGAGTAAGACTGGCCAGCCTAATGACCTGACCTAGGTGGTACAGGATGCAAGGGTTGGTTTTAAGATCCAGACTGCTACATATAAAATTAAAATATCAACCAGCTTTTCATCATAGCATCTGTTCCTGTACTTAGTGAAGCTTTTCTTTTATGTTGTCTTCATTATCCCAGTTGGAGCAGAAAAGTAAGACGTTAAACGGTTAACCCCATTTCATTTCATTTCTTTTCTGCCCTCCATGACCTTGTATATACAAACAAGTTTCAAGACATCCTTACAGCACAAATCAAATGTTATGAAATACATGTCATATAAGGATGTAGATTACAAAAAAATCAATAATATTTTTACACAGTTTTGTTTCTTTGAGAAAAAAAAATCTTTTCGTGGATCATAACATCAATTTTCCTGTTCACATTTTACAAATCCCATCATTTGCACTATATTTGATGTGAATTTTCTTTACATTTGTTAATGTATTTACTTGATATAATCGAATTTATTATACAAAATTTATTTTCTCTATCTATTATACTTTAGATGTATGGATACAATTGTTTTGTATTTCTCATTCTGCAATAGTTGCACCATGGTAATAATCAGTTATATCTTGATCAATAGGTACATTGTACAAGTGACTGAAAAACTATACAAGTCTTTTTTATGTCAGTGCATCGATGCATATGAATTGTAACTTTGAAGCATTTCATGTAAACATATTTACATATTTGAATTCTATGTTCTTGTGCTTAGGCAGAAAAAAAACCCACGGATATGCTTTAACAATAGATAGAGAAGGATGACAGTTACTTGAATCAACTTTTAAACAATTCAACTACACACTCAATGGTGGATTGTCTTGGAGACCTCACTGAAGGCATCACCACTTGTAATTGAAAAGCATAGAAACATGCCCAGAGAATAAGTTTGACTGGTTTACTATAATTAACCATTTCCATTTTCTAGCTTTGGAACTTGATCCCAATTGATTGGTGGTAAGGGTAGCACTTGAATGGTGGTAAGGGTAGCACTTGAATGGTGGTAAGGGTAGCACTTAAATGGTGGTAAGGGTAGCACTTGAATGGTGGTAAGAGTAGCACTTGAATGAGGATGCCTAGAATTTTTCCAAAAGAAAATCTGAGTTGATGTTGTCATTGTCTGTCTTTGATTAGAATAGAGAGATTGATGAATACTCTCTTTTAATGTTTTTAAGGTTGTCATTTTTCTTGTCTGATTGTTGTGGCAACTGTTGTACTAATATGTTTTTAGTTATTCTTTATATTCTTGTATGATACTTGAATTAAAAATCCTGACTGTAATTGGTTTTATGTTTTCCAGGTTGATAGGTTAAATGGTGATATAAAAATGGGAAAGAAAAAGCCGTCAACTGAGAATGGAAAAACAGACACTAATACCCCAGACAGCACAATCTGCTGGTGTAACAAGATGTTTGGTTTTTCCCCAGCAGACTTGAAATCACCCCAGGCAGTGATCAAGTTGTTGTGTAGGCCGTCTGATCCAGCTTGTCTTGGAGTTGTCAGGTTTCTCTTTGGTAAGAAAGCCATATAAATTGTTAGTGTGTGCTGACAGTTAGATATTAGAAATATTTAAATCAATTTTTAATACATAATAGACTTTGTAAATAGAAATATAAAAGCGGTATCTAACTTCTGTTGCTGTTCATTGATGTATTCAGTTGTGTGACATACAAACATTATTGATAAATGGCAAGGGTATAAAGAAACGTTAGAATTATTTGCTTCATCAAGCAACTTTGGGAATAAAATGATGATATATTTGTCTGAAAGTATTTGAAATTTATCTACCCATGTAATTACATCATCAAAAGCACAGACGATTCCCAGTTTTAAAAAAAGTAGCCATAAATCAGGTTGATAAAAGTTGATTTGATTTATTATTGAAGTTATTTCTTTTAACTATGCCATCTTTACTATAATCCTATGGGATCTATATAATGTAGATTATTTTTTTTTCAATATTACGTAAAAGAATTTATCTCCCTTAGGTAGATATATCTGATTATATTACCTAATATAAAGATACAAGATAAATGCATTTAATCGAGTCAATGTTTTTGATGTTTATCCGAGTATACTTTGTGCAGTTATTAATTACTATAGGGATGACGAACACGTTTTTGATGCTTATCCAATTATACTTTGTGTACTTATTAATGACTATAGGGATAAGTACATGTTATTCAATTTACAGAGAAACCTTAAGCTTTTGTTTGTACAAAAAAGGGAAAATATCTAAATGTTTCTGGTAAAAAAAACCCATAACATTTCCATTCTGTCAAGAGAGAAAATATTTGTTCTCCAGCTGAGAACCGTCTTCATTAGCCCAGTTTAGGAGCAGAACAGTAGGACGTTAAATCCCATTTCATTTCATTTCATTTCTCTAGCTGAGCTCTTTAATGTTTGAGGTTTTTTTTCGAATCGCATTAATATAATCACTTTTTGCTCAATATTTCTTTTAAAGGTCTTTCTTATTAAGTTTGACATTTTGAATTATCTATATTGTTCTGTGTTTTTGTTTGACAGTCTTTCATTTACATGTCTAATATAAAACCTGGAGAACGTAGAGAAAACTCATAAATTTACAGGCAGCCATCTGTAGAATTAAGCAGCTTGTATTTGATAGGTCAATCTATAGATAAACCATTTTTATACACCAAGATTTGTATGTGGTTGTATATTGCTGTCCCCTATGTCCACTTATATGTCATTCACATTACCTGTTAGCACATATAGAGGCTACAATATCCATTTATTTGTCATTCACATCTCTAGCACAATAGAGGTGACAATAATCTATATGTGTTTTTCAAATTCATTTGGGTTATCTATCTCATTTAAAGATACTTTCCCACAAAAGTATTTATCGAGTGGTTGTTTCCAATAAAAGTATGGCAATTTTGGTATATATGGAAAGTAGAAACATCCAATCTTATTACAAAAATACTGGATTCCCAGAAAAACCTCCATGGAGTGCATACAGGACAAAATGTAAGGGTTTCCCTAACTGACAGCCTGACGATTAAGGATGTCTTCTTGAGTGACGTTAAATGTTGTACGTGACGATTGTCTAATCTCTCGGCGTGGGTGAGAAAAAAACCATGGAAAAAGACGTGGGCAGTGGATAATCCAAGAATTTAATTAGGCTTCAATATTTATGATAAATGGACAGTGATTAAAGACAACATCGTCTTATATGCAATGATTTTCCTCCGGCTTCGCACCCGTTGCTGGGTACCTTCCTCCGGCTTCGCATCAGCCAAGTCACATGACACAAACATGATCTCTTTTGATAGATTTTTGATAGCAGGCGTACAATGTTTGGAAAAGGATTTGAAGCAAAATTTTGACAGATTAATTAGTTTAAATACGTTTGTAGTCCAAATATATCATCAAATTACCCAGTTTGGTCGTGGGGGGGGGGGGCGGGATCATGTGGCTAAGTGGGTAAGACGCTGGCTCGCTAGCCTGGAGGTAGGGTGTTCGATACCTGCATTGGCCGAGAAAGTTCATCCAGATTTTCCGGCGTGGTTCCCCATTGTCAATGATGCAGGACGGAGGGCCTGTCAAGGACAGCTGTCTAGTTCTTCGGATGAGACGGAAAACCGAGGTCCCGTGTATACATTGGAATGCATATAAAAGATCCCTTGGTAGTTGGAATTCGATATAAGAGTAGGCGATAGTTCTGCTGCCCAGGCAAAATTTCCCTTATAGCACACTGTATGGCGTATGTTCGTCTTCATTAGCCCAGCAGAGGAGCAGAACAGTAGGATGTTAAACCCCATTTCAATTTATTTCATTTGGACATGGGAAGGTATCTTGAAGTAAAGGTGACTTGATTTTTATACGCCCACATTGAAATGTGGTCGTATATTGTCGTCGCCCCCGTCGGTCCGTCGGTCCGGCGTCCACAAGCAATTGTGGACGCTCTAGAGGCTAAAGTTAATATCTGATTGACTTTAAATTTATACACAGTGTTTAAGGTCTTGAGACGAAGAAGCCTATTGATTTTCAGCGATTTCCGATAATTACTGCCAGAGTTATGGCCCTTGATCACTTTGAAAAATCTTGTGGACGCTCTAGAGGCCAAAGTTAATATGCAATTGACCTTTAATTTATACACAGTGTTTGAGGTCATGAGACGAAGAAGCCTATTGATTTTCAACGATTTCCGATAATTACTGCCAGAGTTATGGCCCTTGATCACTTCAAAAAATCTTGTGGATGCTCTAAAGGCCAAAGTTAATATCCGATTGACTTTAAAATTATATTAAGGTCATGAGACGAAGAAGCCTATTGATTTTCAGCGATTTCCGATAATTACTGCCAGAGTTATGGCTCTTGATCACTTCAAAAAATCTTGTGGATGCTCTAAAGGCCAAAGTTAATATCCGATTGACTTTAAATTTATACACAATGTTTAAGGTCATGAGACGAAGAAACCTATTGATTTTCAACGATTTCCGATAATTACTGCCAGAGTTATGGCCCTTGATCATTTAAAAAAATCTTGTGGATGCTCTAGAGGCTACAGTTAACATCCGATTGACATTAAATTGATACACAGTGTTTAAGGTCATAAGATGATGAAGCCTATTGGTTTTCAGCGATTTCTGATAATTACTGCCAGAGTTATGGCCCTTGATCACTTCAAAAAATCTTGTGGATGCTCTAGAAGCGAAAGTTAATATTCGATTGACTTTAAATTTATACACAGTGTTTAACGTCATGAGACGAAGAAGCCTATTGATTTTCAGCGATTTCCAATATTTGCTGCCAGAGTTATGGCCCTTGATCACTTCAAAAAATCTTGTGGACTCTCTAGAGGCCAAAGTTAATATCCGATTGACTTTAAATTTATACACATTGTTTAAGGTCATGAGACGAAGAAGCCTATTGATTTTCAGCGATTTCCGATAATTACTGCAAGAGTTATGGCCCTTGATCACTTTTAAAAATCTTGTGGACTCTCTAGAGGCCAAAGTTAATATCCGATTGACTTTAAATTTATACACAGTGTTTAAGGTCATGAGACAAAGAAGCCTATTGATTTTCAGCGATTTCCGATAATTACTGCCAGAGTTATGGCCCTTGATCACTTCAAAAAATCTTGTGGACGCTCTAGAGGCCAAAGTTAATATCCGATTGACTTTAAATTTATACACAGTGTTTAAGGTCATGAGACGAAGAAGCCTATTGATTTTCAACGATTTCCGATAATTACTGCCAGAGTTATGGCCCTTGATCATTTTGAAAAATCTTGTGGACGCTCTCGAGTCTAAAGTTAATATCCGATTGACTTTAAATTTTATACACAGTGTTTAAGGTCATGAGACGAAGAAGTCTATTCATTTTCAGTGATTTTCGATAATTACTGCCAGAGTTTTTGCCCTTGATCACTTCAAAAAACCTTGTGGATGCTCTAAAGGCTAAAGTTAATATCTGATTGACTTTAAATTTATACACAGTGTTTGAGGTCACGAGGCGAATAATCCTATTGATTTCAAAGATTTCTGATAATTACTGCCAAAGTTATCGCCCTTGATCACTTTGAAAAATCTTGAGGACGCTCTAGGGGCCATAGTTAATATCCGATTGACTTCAGATTGATACACAGAGTTTAAGATCTTGAGACGAACAAGTATATTGATTTTCAATGAATTTTTATGACTTGGAACAGCTAAATCCATGATACAGTATTAAAAGTTTTGTATACAAAACGTTAGCATGGGGCAGAACTTTATAAAAACCAAACAAATTCTAATGGTTTTCTGAGTTGTTGCTCTTAATCAAATTTTAGTGTATTATAAATGTTTCATTACCGAATAAAGTAAAAATATGCGACAACTCTTGTTGACTGCCCGGACGATTTAGCTGCTGTGGGCGTGTGTTTTGTTGCCTGGCAACCTATCTTTATGACTTGAACAGTTAAATCCATGATATTAAAAGCTTTGCATACAAAACGTTAGCATGGGGCAGAACTTTATAAAAACCAAACAAATTCTAATAGTTTTCTGATAATTACTTCGTGAGTTGTTGCTCTTAATCAGATTTTAGTGTATTATAAATATTACCGAAAAAAGTAAAAATATGCGACAACCCTTGTTGACTGCCCGGACGATTTAGTTGCTGTGGACGTATGTTTCGTTGCCTGGCAACCTATCTTTAACATTTTTCAAGAATCACCTACAGAGTTATTCTCCTTTGTTATGAAATTTGCTACAACTTTATAGGCGGTATTATTAATGGTAAAAACCAGCCAATACCACCTATATAATTTATGCTCAAAACATTTGATGGATCCCGTTTTAATCGAATTGAATCCAATCCGGTAAATTATCTGCTGTTAAATTTTTTTATTTTTATTTTTTTTAAAATAAGGGGGGTTGGATGGCCGAATGGTTAGCAAGTGCATGCTGTATCATAAGGTCTGTCATTGAGTCAGCTGGCATGGTTTCGAATCCCCAGTTGTACATGACAAGAAGTAGGGTCACCTGTCCAACCTCATGGGTTTTCTCCAGGTCCTCCCACTGCTAAAGACCTCTACACGCAAGCGAATTATTGAAATAAAATGGAACCATGTGTTAGTTCCGAAATGGCCAAGTTTGTGTCGAGTGGACGTTAAACCCCATTTCTCTCTCTCTCTCTCTATTTCAAATATTCAATATGAATATACATATTAAGCCATTCGAACTACAAATAACGATTTTAACTGGTAGTGGGGTGGGCGTATATTTCATTTCCTGGCAACCAGTGTTTATTATGCAATGACAAAAAAGAAATTTGTCGGCCTCTTTTGACCAAATATATTTTTCTCATTTTAAAACATTTGTCTTTAATAGAAAAATAATTGCCAACAATTGACTGAGATAAAAGGTCTTGGAACGAGACTGAATTGTGTGGGTTGTCCAAAGTATATATCTATAGAAAAATCAAATTAATGATCTAAAAATAACTATAATCTGTATACCAGTAGTTTAAAATAAGGATAAGGTTATTCATAACCACACTGTTTATGAATAAAGATTACCTCATAAATACTGTATTTATGCATTACAATTACTGTTACCTCTTAAATACTTTTGAAGCATTTATGACCTAACCCTAACTCTAGCCCGTTGAAGCTACCAAGCACTTCTTGCGCTTGTTTATTATACAGAGAGTCCCAATAAAAAGTTAATCCTAACTGCTGTGGTTACGAATAAATTCCCCCTAGATGATTTTACTGATGTATTTATACCACAGTTGGAATTTCTCAACATTAGAGAAGTATAATGAAATTGTCAGGTTATTTTGTAAGAGAAGAAGGAAGCGCTCCACGTTAAAAAATTACATGGGTAAACTAAGCCCAAGTTTTTTAGAAAATCTATTTGTATAGATTTTGCCACATCACGAATTGAATTGAAGCATCTCATGAAGATTATTCATAATTTTGTTGTAAATCAGTGCGATTCTGCTTCTTGAATGAACACATGAGAAAATTTGTTTCCATGACGTTTGGTAGTTGAACTAGAAATACACAGGTTACACAGGTCACACTTCTATGGACTACAATTACTGCTTATTACTGAACAACGTTTCGACCAGGATTCTTTAGTCTGTATATATATATTGAGAACTGAAACAAATTTTTAAGCATTGTGATTATTACAGTTTTAGATTAATTAAAACAATTACATCTTAATTCTTTATATTTTTACTTGCAGGTTTTTTGATGTTGTTGGACATACCACAAGAAAGAGGACTTGGAATGGCTGATGTAAGATGGGGTAATAATGATGAATGTCGGTTCCCTCTCTTTAATTTTCTCAAACCGTTACCATTAGAATGGATGTATATTGTCTACTTTGTCATGTTATTAGGTAAGATTTCCGATTTTATTTAAAACACAGTTTGGTATCATTACAAATTTTACGCTTGATAGCAGCATATATTCCACTCGGCTTACCGTCTGAATGTCGGTACCTAGCGATCTATTTAATGTGATATTTAGATAATGAGAAAGTAAACATGAAGCCATGATTAAGAAATGGCTATGTCGTGGACGGAGTGATTTGAGAATAGTATTATAAAACCGCTTGATCTATAATTACATTATAATTATGGAATGGTTACTTCTGTCTCTGGTTCCTGGTATTCTGTATTGATTACAAGTGTATCGTCTGCTCATTAGTTTCTACTTTTGATCAACATGTGAGGTCAACAGGAAGTCTAAATTATAAGAAAGTAATATTAAACGATTATGGTATCCTTTCTGACAGACCTTAAACAAAATAATTAGAATTTTTGATAGGCAGAAACAATTTATGATAGATAACCCTGTATGATTGCGAAAATATTCATTGATTTATTCTTCCAAAGGATTTTCCTGATCATTTTCGAGAGGAAGCTCTTAAGTCAGCTGAAAGTGATAAATCAGTTCTTTAAGGGCATTACGCAGTTCAAATTATGAGAAAAATTATTCATGGGTGTTTCTTTTTTAAATACCCTTGCCCAAAAGTGCTCCTTCTGCTGTCCAAATTTTGTTTATACTAAGGAGTTATTCGCCATAAACTATATTTAATTTGTCATAAATGTCTTTCAAATTGTTGTGTGTTTAGCTTTGAAGTATGAAATAAATGGATATCTGCTTGAGATGTTCTTCAATATCTATTTTCTTTTGGATAGTCCACACCTTCTCTGTACTTTATAGATAGAGACACATGTACAAAGAATTATACAAGGTATAAATGATTATGGGTAAAAATGTTATTTTGTAATTTTAGGTGCTGCCGGTATTATGGTTGGGTTTTTATTCCGTTTTAGTTGTATATGTTTTCTACTACCATACTGGTATATATTCTTTCTCGATAAAACATCATGGAACAATCATAGTTACTTATATGGTATTCTGGGATTTTTACTGACCATTTCTGATGCTAACAGATATTGGTAAGTTTCTTTCATTTTATTGAGGTATATTATTTTGATATGCCATTATCTTGTATCCCATTTACCACAAATTTCTTACCATTTCTCACCATTTTGTTTTGATAGTCAAATGATTAGTTGAAACTTTTTGTTGGCCGAACAATGTTTTCGGACAAAAGTTAGCACAAGGTCAAACATGTTAGATTTCAAAAACATTGTTCGGCCAACAAATGTTTGTGTTGTTCTTGTTTGCGTTGAATTTCTACAAAGAGCGAACCATATTATATGGACATCCAGTCAGTGTTTCATTAACGATCATGTGGTATGGAAATGGCTGTCGTCACCATTTTGTGAACTCATGATTTTTGGATCAATCATGTGACATCATCGTCAGTCTCTTTTGAACAAATGTTGGTCGGTTTGCATTGAACATTCTTTAAAAAGGTGTAAAGCATTTCTTTTGTTAGACGCCAACAAATGTTAGTTGGTCTGTGGCAGGCTTTAGACTTAAAAATACTGATCAGTTTTTATTACTCCATATATATTGACTCTTTGGGTAGATCTCATTTGTTATTTCGATCAGTAATTAGACATGCTCTATAATTCAATTTTTGTTTTGAAAGGTTTAACAGAAGTTGGCTTGTTTTCTGATTTTAGTTTAATTTTTGACATTGATACATTATGGGAGATAAGATAAAGAGATGGCAGTTCTCGCTATAATAGTTAAAAACTAGATAGTGTAAAGGTAATTTGCTGAAAATTTCAGTCAAATTGATCCCCTATGAGCCGAGAAAGAAGCGGGTGAAATTTTTGCATAGTCTCGGTCATCATTAATAAAATCATTAATATAAACAGCATAGTCTCGATAATCCACTTTTTGTCCCCCGCCTTTCGAAGAAAGCAGGGGACTATTAAAATGGGTTCGTCCGTCTGTCTGTCCGTCTGTCTGTCCGTTCTGTCCGTCTGTCTGTCCGTCTGTCCGTCCGTCTGTCTGTCCGTCACACTTTTTGGGACACAATAACTCTCTTCCTAATTGAGCTAGAATGTTCAAACTTGGTGTATGTGTTTATTAGGTCAATGCCTTGATGGAGTTCGAAGATGAGCATTTTCCGCTTAGGGTAAGCAGAGATAAGCAATTTGATTGGTTGATGCTTTGGGACACGATAACTCTCTTCCTAATTGGGCTAGAATGTTCAAACTTGGTGTATGTGTTGATTAGGTCAATGCCTTGATGGAGTTCGAAGATGAGCATTTTCCGCTTAGGGTAAGCAGAGATAAGCAATTTGATTGGTTGATGCTTTGGGACACGATAACTTTTAATTGAGCTAGAATGTTCAAACTTGGTGTATGTGTTTATTAGGTCAATGCCTTGATTGAGTTCGAAGATGAGCATTTTCCGCTTAGGGTAAGCAGAGATAAGCAATTTGATTGGTTGATACTTTGGGGCACGATAACTCTCTTCCTAATTGAGCTAGAATGTTCAAACTTGGTGTATGTGTTGATTAGGTCAATGCCTTGATGGAGTTCGAAGATGAGCATTTTCCGCTTAGGGTAAGCAGAGATAAGCAATTTGATTGGTTGATGCTTTGGGACACGATAACTTTAGTTCTAATTAAGTGAGATTGATGAAACTTGGTGTATAGTTTCATTACAGTAATACCTTGACTAAGTTTGATAATGAGCATTTTCTGCTCAGGGTAAGCAGCAATTTGATTGGTTGATACTTTGGGGCACGATAACTCTCTTCCTAATTGAGCTAGAATGTTCAAACTTGGTGTATGTGTTGATTAGGTCAATGCCTTGATGGAGTTCGAAGATGAGCATTTTCCGCTTAGGGTAAGCAGAGATAAGCAATTTGATTGGTTGATGCTTTGGGACACGATAACTTTAGTTCTAATTAAGTGAGATTGATGAAACTTGGTGTATAGTTTCATTACAGTAATACCTTGACTAAGTTTGATAATGAGCATTTTCTGCTCAGGGTAAGCAGAGCGATACGCAATTTGATTGGTCGAGACTTTGGAAAACAATAACTCTCCTACTTTGATTGTTAGACTATAAGTAAAGATATACTGTTTGATTGTTCAATACTTTGTAAAAGATAATTTGTGATAAATTTATATGTGTCCTCTAATTATTTTCCTAATTCGGCGGGGGACATCAGCCTCACTGTTGGCTTGTTTGGATTTAATTATCAATGACCGTTAGCGGCATATAGGAATCTAATCCAGCCAACATTGAAGGCAAGCCTTGACATCGAGAGTTTATTATGGTCTGGATAAGTTAATTAATATCTAATTGATAATTTAGATAACATTTCAGGCCTAAAGAAAGACTTGTAATAAGCAGATTTTGCTCTTGCATAATGCATGTTTAAGCTACTGTGTCGACAGCGGAACACAAAATGTGTTATATCTCAACACTGGCATTATCAGTAGATGTAAAATTTTCAACAGAGACAGAAGGTTATCCTAATAATCAAACCATCACACAAAATCAAACTAATTAGACTGTTTTATTTTTGACCATAATCAAAGAGATGGTGCCATTTTTAGATACTAGTAAATAATTGTAGGTCATTAGATGGATTGTTCTCGAAGAATAAGAGGAATACCCATGTACCATTATGGAACTATACCTTGTTAAGGTTACAGGTAAGATGATACTATAATATGTAAGATGAATTATATAGACCATGTACCAGAGCCATCATCTAGTAATGGTTAATTAACCTGTGTTCTTTGGTCAAACCAATCATTTTCTATTTCATTTGAATATTTAGTATTCGTTCTGTTCATGATGACTGATATTGACATCTTGATTAGGCTAGAGAAAGAGAGAGAGAAATGGGCTTTAATGTCCACTCAATACAAACCAGAACCTTTCATTAATTTCAGGCGTAACATATGGTATAGGTCTTTAGCAGTGGGAGGAAACCAGATGACCCAAAGAAAATCAATGAGGTTGGACAGTTGACCCCTGCAAACACATTGCTTAACTCATTGACAGATCTTGTTGAAATAAAATTGAACTATATGTTAGTCCCGAAATGACCTAGTTTGTTTCGAGTTGGTGTTAACCCCCATCTCCCTCCCTCCCTTTAAGAAAAAATAGTTTGAATTATATCAAGTGAATACTTAATACCAATCATTTTTCTTTTCTAATAAAATGTTCTGCAGTTTTTCAAAATGATATGTAATAATTTCAGGTATTTTTAGTATATTTTATTGCTGGTTTGAAGAAGTTAGATTTTGATTGGGTTTATGGTTATTCAATGCAGAATCTCTCCAGACACTGGGTATTTGATCCGTTAAAGTAAGTTTATTATGTTTGAGATAATCACTGTGATTATTGTAATTTGATGCTTGTCTAGAAATAGTGAATATAACCAGATATTATTTCTCCCTAGTTGCTTGGTATTAATCTAAGCTTTCAACCAGTCAATATGTTACATGTCCGAAAGAAATTCTGTTATTTTATCTATTTTGATTATTGGTACATGAATTATACCTTCGAGGATACATCTGATGTATGTACTCTTCAGTTTATTGATTTTTAACAGTAAATTATGATATTTACATTGCGAAAGCAATCATTTATTTTTAAGATCGTATGCATGTAAATTGTTCAGTAAGTCTTTTTTAAGTATATCTAATAAACAGGTAAAATACATTGAATATCATCTAGTGTTTTAAAAGCCTAAAAATATGCATTTTGATTTGAAAGCAATAGAAACTTGATGACTTTAGATATTCTGTTTGAATGGCATTTAGTAATTGAACACATTAAAATATATAGTTGTTCCACACTACATATTTAGTTAATTTATCATACTTAATATGCAATAATAGATAATTGTTTTTTCTTCTCATTATAATAAAATAACAGTGAAACCTATCTCTCTCTCTTGGTTACTTTTTATTATACATAATTAAACAAACTTTATAGCTTTTGGCAGTAATTATATTATGATAAAGGAGCCATATTTGTGCCACACAGACCAATAAATTAACAATAGTGGTTTATTGATGTCTAATATTTAATAGAAATATTTATATATAGATTGTTTGTTCTGCAAGGGATTAGCACCAGCCATCATTGATTTAACATTGAGAAACAGTAACAGATATAAAACCTTACTAAACCTTGTTAAGCATATTGAAGTTCAGTATTTATTGAATTATATGACTGAGTCCCATGTGGTGCTCCCATTTGAGCAGATTTCTCTGGTTAATCTAGCATTAACCTTTAAGCTAATTGAATATCGGTTTGTCCAGTGCTCTAATATGGTTAAAAGGTTAATATGACTAGAGAAGGCTGTTAATAGTAGCCAAAGCAACAACGTTATCACAGCCTTCAGTAGTTTAGTTTAATGAAATCGTTTCTTAGTTCTCAGACTGTTTTCAGACACCGAAGTTAACAGGATTAATATATTGTATAGAAGGAAACAAAGCACTTATATGGGTTTTTATCAAAACTTATGGAATGAAATAGAATCACACAGTATGTCTTGTTCCGGTTTTCTGCTCACATGACATCATAATTTCTGATATTTCAAACGACAGCTTATACTTAGCCATTTTGAAGTAGATAAAAGTTCTATTAAGACTACATTAATAAAAACAGCTGATAAGTCTTTTCATGTCTACTGTAGCAATGGCATTATTCAGAACCTCTTTTGTCATAAAACATGATACTGGCTGCTGATAGACATTTCTTTTTGTATTGAGAAAATTTCAATAATAATGCATCTAAAGTATAAGGAGACACCTATATTTATATTCAGAAAAGGCTCATATTTAACTAGTATTTGCCAGTCAATGTCCAACTTGCGTTCAGAAGTCAGCTACTCACTTAGTTTACATGTTTAGAAATTGATATAATTAAGTTACTTAAATGAACAAAGTGTACAATCCAATTTGTAACCCTTCTTTATAATTAAAAAAGTTTGGAGTTTAATTTTATAAATGAAAGGAATACTCTATTTCTGAAGTAGATTTTCTTATTAGAATCTTATAAATGTAAGAAACATAAGTGTCTCATTAGAACTATCCAGGGGAGTTGGGTGGCCAAATGGTCCAATACCTACGCTTGTCATTTGGCAAGTGACATTGTTTAGATCTGACAAGGAGTAGGGTCACCAGCCTAACCTTGTGGGTTTTCTCTTGGTTATCAACATTTATTAACATAAGATTGTTCCATATGTTAGTCCCAAAATGACCCGATTTGTGTTGAGTGGACCTAAACTGTCAGTCCCAAAATGACCAGGGCCCTTATTAACGAAAACTTAAACTAAGTTACAACCGAAATTTTAAGAAATACTGCAACTTCATTGCATATATGCAAATTGATTTTACTGGTCAGTCAATCGAATTGCAGTATTTCTTAAAATTTCGATTGTATCTTAGTTTAAGTTTTCGTGAATAAGGGCCCTGATTTGTGTTGAGTAGACTTAAACTCTCTCAGAGACAGAGAGAGTGGGAGAGAGACTGAGAGTTTTTAAGTACACTCAACACAGATCGGAGAAAGAGAAAGAGAGAGAGATGGAACAAACCATGGTTGTATTAAAACCTTACATGTACAGAGATATCAGCAGTGCTATCTATCATCAGAGAAACTGTCTATACATCATATATCTATTTCAGGTTTATGTTAACTGAAGAGCAAATTGACCTTTTTGTAGTACATTTGGGAGGACTGACCATCGATTTATCTATTGGCTTTTTATTCTTCTTCGACAAAACTAGACCCCTGGCATTTCTTGTTTGTTCCAGCTTTCATTTAATGAATTCTCAAATGTTCAGTATAGGTAAATTATTTATTTACTGATTTAGAAATGAAATGAAATGAAATGGGGTTTAACGTCTTACTGTTCTGCTCCTAAACTGGGCTAATGAAGACGGGCATATGCCATACAGTGTGATATGAGGGACATTTTGCCCGGGCAGCGGCGCTACGGACTACTCTTATATCGAATTCCAACTGCCAAGGGATCTTTTATGTGCACGCCAATATGTACATGGGACCTTGGTTTTCCATCCCATCCGAACGACTAGACAGCTGTCCTTGATTTAGAATATTTAAATTCATGGACACTACTTTGTATTTGTGATGTAATTTATATACATATTATGATCTAATAAAGATATTATGTTAAGTGAATAGAAATGTTTTGTACAAAGTATAGACGAAATTTTGATTCTGAGATATTCCATTGGGTTGAGACTTCTAAGATTACTAGAAATACACTTGGAAAATCAATGAATTGTTTATTCCTCCAATTAGGCAAACAGCGGCCAATGATTGACTATTTTCGTGTGGTCAATTATATTGTATTTAATTTAGGTATGTTTCCATGGATGATGTTAGCAACACAAGTATTATTTTGTCACACTGATTGGCCGAGACGTGTATTTAAAATGATTCCTACCAGTTTACAACTGTTTACACCAGAAGAAGAAGAAATACATGCTAGTAGTCACTGTATTTATGGTAAAGATGATGTCAAATCTGAAGATAATAAACAACAAGTAGGTTTGTTTACTCAATATTTTACTACTCAGTTGGTTTAGAACTAAATGACAACCAATGTCGAGGTTTGACTTGATACCTGGTTTGACCTTGTACTTCATTTTTATACGCCCACATTGAAATGTGGGCGTATATTGTCGTCGCCCCCGTCCGTCCGTCTGGACTCTTTAGAGGCCAAAGTTAATATCCGATTGACTTTAAATTTATACACAGTGTTTAAGGTCACGAGACGAAGAAGCCTATTGATTTTCGGCGATTTCCGATAATTACTGCCAGAGTTATGGCCCTTGATCACTTCAAAAAATCTTGTAGACGCTTTAGAGGTTAAAGTTAATATCCGATTAACTTTAGATTTATACACAGTGTTTAAGGTCATGAGACGAAGAAGCCTATCAATTTTCAAAGATTTCCGATAATTACTGCCAGAGTTATGGCTCTTGATCACTTCAAAAAATCTTGTGGATGCTTTAGAGGTCAAAGTTAATATCCGATTGACTTTAAATTTAGGCACAGTGTTTATGTCATGAGACGAGGAATCCTATTGATTTTCAGCGATTTCAGATAATTACTGCCAGAGTTATGGCCCTTGATCACTTCAAAAAAATCTTGTGGACGCTCAAGAGGTCAAAGTTAATATCAGATTGATTTTAAATTTATACACAGTGTTTAAGGTCATGAGACGAGGAATCCTATTGATTTTCAGCGATTTCCGATAATTACTGCCAGAGTTATGGCCCTTGATCACTTCAAAAAATCTTGTGGACGCTCTAGAGGTCAAAGTTAATATCCGATTGACTTTAAATTTATACACAGTGTTTAAAGTCATGAGACGAAGAAGCCTATCAATTTTCAACGGTTTCCGATAATTACTGCCAGAGTTATGGCTCTTGATCACTTCGAAAAATCTTGTGGACGGTTTAGAGGTCAAAGTTAATATCCTATTGACTTTAAACTTATACTCAGTGTTTAATGTCATGAGACGAGGAATCCTATTGATTTTCAGCGATTTCAGATAATTACTGCCAGAGTTATGGCCCTTGATCACTTCAAAAGATCTTGTGGACGCTCTAGAGGTCAAAGTTAATATTCGATTAACTTTAAATTTATACACAGTGTTTAAGGTCATGAGGCGAAGATGCCTATTGATTTTCAACGATTTCTGATAATTACCGCCAAAGTTATGGCCCTTGATCACTTTGAAAAATCTTGTGACGTTCTAGAGGCTAAAGCCTGGAGGTCGGGTGTTCGATCCCTGCATTGGCCGAGAAAGTTCATCCAGATTTTCCGGCGTGGTTCCTCCTTGTCAGTGATGCAGGACGGAGGGCCTGACAAGGACAGCTGTCTAGTCCTTCGGAAGAGACGAAAAACCGAGTCCCTTGTATACATTGGAATGCATATAAAAGATCCCTTGGCAGTTGGAATTCGATATAAGAGTAGGCGATAGTGCCGCTGCCCGGGCAAAATTTCCCTCATAGCACACTGTATGGCGTATGCCTGTCTTCATTAGCCCAGCATAGGAGTAGAACAGTAGGATGTTAAACCCCATTTCATTTCATTTCATTTCTAGAGGCTAAAGTTATCATCCGATTGACTTCAGATTGATAATTACTTAATGAGTTGTTAATCTTAATCAGATTTTAGTGTATTATAAATGTTTCATTACCAAAAAAAGTAAAAATATGCGACAATACTTGTTGACTGCCCGTACGATTTAGCTGCTGTGGGCGTATGTTTCGTTGCCTGGCAACCTATCGTAAAATTACAAATAAAGCTGTCCGTGATATTTTTGTTGCCTGGCAACCTATCGTAAAATTACAAATAAAGCTGCCTGTGATATTTTTGCAAGTAAAATGCTGCTTATACATAATATGCAGTACAGTACTAGACCTAATCATAATTTTAAAAGAAGTAGAATTTGGAAATAAATAAGAAATACAACACCAAATTAAAGACTTACCAATAATAGTTTGTTGAAAATTGAAGAAATGCAACAGAAATTCAAGCAAGGTATTTATTAAACTCCTGGGAAATCTATATCTTGGTGATGGTTTGAAAGATTAGTCTCAAATTTGGCATACAATTTAATTTAACACCCAGATGTAATTGTATAGTCAAATAACAGTAAATTGAAAATATTTTACCCGCCAGAAAAAAAACTTCAACATGTTAATGCGTCATCAGTATCTAATATTGCATTTGATTTGAAACTTTAGACATGAATTTAAAGGTCTTGACATAGATAAATGATGATTTATTATCTGAACTACAAATTTGTAGACAGTTTATTTTACCCTATTATTAAATGGTGACAATTTTTCTTAGAAATTGTGAAAAACAAGTCTGGATGAAAATGTCAATATTGACCTGATTACAATATAAATATATAACAAGATGTCTAAATAAATTTACTCTGTCTAGACAAACCAGTAATTAAGAAAAGATTGATTAAAAAGCTTTGTTAGATCTTGGTTCTAGAACTTCTGAACATGTTTAGAACTCCAGCGACTTTACTCTGAAAGAGTTACCTCCCTTGTCACAGTATGGATTTTTTTTCTATGTGTGTAGTTGAAAAACCATTTGTGTTGTTGATTATGTATAGTGATGCATGATTTGCATTTTCCAAAAAATATTAAATTCCTCACAGCTTAATCCACACTGTACGCAAATTGATTATTTAAAATTTAAAGATACATTATGGGAGATTTTAATGGCCATGCTTGCTATATCAGTTCAAAAATATATTCAAAATTTCAGTCAGATTACTTTATTCTGAACAAAGTTATCACCATTGTAATTTTTGACTAAAAGTAGGAGTCAACTCTGTCTTCACCTTCTTCGAGAATGGCCGATCGTTTGATTGACAGGCGTTTACTCCACCTACATAATCTCGATTATCAAGTAACGTTTTCAATGGCCGTGGTACCGTTAGCATATTCAGTTTGAGACGGGGTTGCAATTCAATTTGTATCACATTTATTTTTACTACAAATTAAAAATAAGACTTTTAATATATAGATAAGAAGCGAAAGTTTGAAAGGAATGGACCAAATCAATGAGGCATAATTATAGCCGACTTCTTGTTAGCTGCGTGTACTCTTGTACTGTAACTGGTAGGCCTACGTAACTCCCGAAGCAGACATATAGGAAACAGTGATCCAATGGGGCTACAATTCAACTGGGGTGATGTTAGCTGCGATGTTTATCAATTTCCATAATTTTTCTGTAAACGCAAGTGACAAAAGTGCGTATAATACCGACATCCAAACTCTCATTTTAACCACAACTAAACATAATATCAAGGCCGTATATATATCGAACTTTCAATCAAATTTACTGACATGCCGCCTCGCTCAACAGCGGCCTCGCTTCGTACACTCTATCATTTAGCCTCGATCTAAAATTCATATATATATCGAACTGTTTAAATCCAAGCCGAATCCAAGCCATCCGTGGGTCTACAGAGTTGATTTTGTGCTTGTTGTGTAAATAAAGATCTAATTTATAATTTCTATGACATCTGAAGCCTAAATAAAGACTTGCAATAATCAGATTTAGCTCTTGCATAATGTATGTTTAATTAAAAAAACAAAATCTAAATACCAATGCTAGATAATCTCCAGACTTGGATTCAATCAGATTTCAAACAGGCCCCTTAGTTAGATTCACAGCAAATAAAGATGGCATCTGTCTTGGTACATAGGGAGCAGCATAGATTGATGGAATTTTCAATTTGTCATACTTTTTGTAAAAGCTGAGCAGAATTTAATGATTTCTGGACTGATATTCCTATCAGAGATTCAACTTTCACAATATATTGTAGTTTGCAAGGGATTCTATAGCACTAAAATCGGCTCAGTCTTTAATTGGTAAATGTTATTGTTCTTTTATTCGTATATATTTTATAATAATATCTCTAAGGAATAAACCAGTTTACTGGTATATTTTTTTATTTTGATTACTTTCAGAAGTTATCTCCCTTGACACATTTTTTTTTTTACCTAAGATTTTTCTCAATTTTAGGGGATGAAATGTGGTAAAGCTCCACCAACCAAATCAACATTATATCACAAGATATCAACTTGTTTTACTTTCCTGTTTATTATATTACAACTTATCCTACCATATTCCCATGGTATAACTAAGGTAGGCTACTCTAAAAATACTACAACATTTGAAAACTCTGTACTACTAATAACTCTTATTTCATTAAGTGTCTAGTTCTTTGTCTCAGAAGTTAACTATAACTGAACCTGACATTGTTTTTACAAATTTTACTGAAATAAGCTACATTGGCTCAGTGAGCATTACACTCACTCACTAACCAGGAGATCTCGGTTTCGGTTCCATTAACAGTTTGAATTCAATGAAGAGTAGCCAAAAACACAGCTGTCCAAGCAAAATTTTTCCCATAGTACACTGTATTGCGTATGCTTGACTTCATCACTAGCTCAATTGGTGTAGAGAAGTAAGATATTTAACCCCATTTCATTTCAATAAGCATACAAATACTTCTCAGTTAGTTTTGGTTGTGATTTAGTAAGAATTTATTCATAATTTGTTCATAATCTTTAGAGCATTTTAAAATATTTTCTATTATTTAAACTTATACCATAGGTTGTTCTATTGTCGGTTTATATTTTGTTGTAGGGTTATAATAATTGGACAAATGGTTTATATGGTTATTCATGGGATATGATGGTTCATTCCTGGTCTGTTCAACATATTCGTATAACCTATGTTAATAAAGATACGGGAGAAGCTGGTTATCTCAATCCTGAGGTAGGATTTATTATGAAATATTTATTAAATTCATCCACAATGAAAAGAAACCCTGTAATAGTTTTAAATATGGAAGAGCTAAATACTGTGTAAAGTTTTTAGTTTATACATTAAGCCATATGATGTGCAGTTGGGAGAAAAATTCCCAAATTCTTATATTGCTACCCTCTGCCTTTTCCAAACGTACCATTGAACGATTCACCAACAAACCTATCCAAATTAGATTGAAGAATTAGGGACACACTTTCAAGTTAAGCGTCTGTATGAAGCTTAAACATACTTTATGCAAGAGCTAAATATGCCTATTGCAGATCTTTCTTTAGGCCTGAAATGTTATATAAACTATTAATTAGATATTAATTAACTTATCCAATCCGTAATCAACTCTCGATGTCATCTTATGTGTCAGATTTTCACTGGATTTGAATCAGATCTGCTTAACACTCATTGATGATTAAATCAAAAAATGGATAATCGAGACTATGTTTTTTTTATCGTACCGACTTTAGGAATGATGATCGAGGCTAGGCTTAAAATTCAAAAGCTAATATCTCAGTTAAGAGTGGATCAATTTGACTGAAATTTTCAACATATTTTATTTACGTTATCTATTTTTTAACCATTATATCGAGAAGAGTCAACTCTTTATCTAATCTCCCATAAGTTTCTCTTTAAGATTTAACACCAAGAACATGTCAACAGTGATGTGGTTTTATTGTTTTATAAATATCCTTGTTGGTATAATCTGTTATAAAATTATTTAGTATCAAAGTTTTAGACATGTGAATATTAACTTTTTAATTTAAATGTAAGTTATATTCATATTGGATTTATTTAATCATTTCAGGCCTGGGTTGGATCGCGACGATGGAGTTCTCATGCAGATATGTTAAAACAACATGCTCAATGTATAGCTGGTCATCTTAAAACATATAATATCACTAATGTAGCTTTACACTTTGATATCTGGAAATCATTAAATGAGAGATTTCAACAGAGGTTTGTTTTATATTTACAACTAATAATTCTTATGGGCGTTACTCTATCACTTAATGTTAGTCAGTAACTTAATGTTATTCAGTCACTTCTAGTTTAAAGGACAATGTGTATTTGTGCTATTTGGCATAAGGTTGTTGCAGTTAAAGCTAGGATGATTGATGGATTTATCATCTATGCATAGTGAGTTTCACCCAAATGTGTTATTCAGTCACTTCTAGTTTAAAGGACGATGTATATTTGTGCTATTAAGCCTAATGTTGCTGGTGTTTAAGCTAGGTTTGTTGGTTCTAAAATATTACACTGTAGGTAATGGATCTGTCATCTAGGCATACAGAGTTTCACCCGACTCTGACAAAGTGCAAAATCACACAACCTAACCTTTCTTTCACCTCTATAGATTCCTGTGTGCATGTGAAATTATGTAATGTTTTCCACTGCATGATGTAACCCAATTCCTCTGCTTTGGTTAATTTCTTTGCTCTCAGCCTTGAACTTTATCAGAATGAGTTATATGATATTGTTAGAAATACTAATTTGAATGATATCATATGAATATTAAATTTATTTTGTAGAATGTTCGATCCTAAAGTCGATATACAATCAGTAGAATGGAGTCCACTAAAAGAAACTCCCTGGTTAATGCCTTTATTGGTAGATCTATCTGATTGGAGAGGAAAACTGGCAGAAATAGAAAAAAGTTTAACAGTTAATTCTTCAGAATCAGCAGATGTAGTGTTTGTTGCCGATTTTCCAGGTAATAATTAATAATAATTTCAAAAATTAGTGTTGTAACTAGTTTTTCATATGTATGGATTATTGTTTCTTCATAAACTAATTATCTTTTGTCATCCAATTCATTTTATTCTCCCGTCTTCATTAGCCCAGTCGGAACAGAACAGTAGGACGTTAAACCCCATTTCATTTTATCTTCAAATGTATCTTTTATTATTTCTTGATTCCATGTCACTCAGTGCATGTACATCTTCAATAGGCATTAAGAATATTTGTGTCTGCAATTATTCTGTCTTTACAAACATTACCCAATAAACGATTGAAACTTGATATTTCATTTTTAAGCTTAAACTAATATATATCTTTTTATTTAATATAAAAATTGCTGTTTCCGTAAGCCTATGTTAACATACAGGCCTAATACTTTTTTTTTTTACTTATTGAAGGGTTATATTTAGAGAATTATGTACAGGAAGATTTAGGCAATACCAGTATAACAGTTTTAAAAGGAAAAGTTTTAGTCGAGTTGGTAGATAAACATAAAAATTATACATTAATGGAAGGCGAGAGCATGCAGGTATTGTAACTTTATTTTACTAATTGTATTATATAATCTTAATTCAATATCAAGGCTACAAAACATTTTATGGAAGCTATAGAAAACAAAGAATAAAATGATAAACCTTGCACTTAAAATTTGAAAAACTAATTATAAGGCTTCATTTGGCTAAATTGGGATTTGAAAAAGAGAAGACCATTTGACACCTGAACTGCCTAAAATTTGATCTTCGGCAGCTTACTGCAATTAAGGAATTGTCTGTTTAATTTTTTTTTTAAGGAATTTAATCGTAATATAAAAGGATTTTCTTTTCATTCAGGTGCCTGCAGGAAATTTCCACAATGTGCATACCATATCCAGTACTCCTTCATGTTATATGTATATATATGTTAATACTACAGATGTTAATTTCATGGAAAATCTTATAGAATATGAAAAAGCAGTAAATGGTACCTTAGATATTGGAATTGGTAAGTATTTTACTTATATTTTGTGTGAAAGTATATAATTTTAAATTTATAGAAAATTTCTGAATTTTGGTTCCAGTCTTTCTTTCAATAGTGAGAGTGACAAAAATGACTGGTTTGATACTGACTAATATGTGAGTGTTATACAAAAACTCTAAAGACAACTTTTATTATACATTTAAGTTACTTAATTGATTCCATTACACTGTCTTGTGAAGGAAATCAAAGCTTGTGTGAAAAATAAAATGCTTGCATGTGATTTAATGCATCATTATTGTTACATATCATAAAGCCAAAAATCACCATCTTATCATATCATTGTAAACAAATAGAATATTTGTTGTCATGTTTATATATGAAGATCATCGCACATTTCATTTATCTGCAAGGAATGTCCAGCACTTGGCAACTTTCATAATTGTACCCCATTAGTTTTGAAAAAATGGGAACACAAATAAAGCAATCTTCTCAGGCAAGAAGTTCAACTATGATGTCAAAATCTGTAAAGTTGTTGAAAATAAAATTTAATTAAAAAAAAATTGGCCACAGAGAATATGAATTTAAAGATTGTGAATAAAGTTTGATAGATATATTTATAATTTGTTGTGTTGTCTTCTTTATTAGCATCCACAAAATAGGTGTAAAAATAACACACCACTGAAGGTGTGGAAATTACATCAAAAACATGGACCAAAGTTTCTTGCCCATCTGTGGCCAATATTGAAGGTCAGAAATTTTCTGACTTTTCCTGTATCTAAAGCAGATACCAAGTTATCAGGATGATAGTAATTAATATGGCTCTTGGATTATGTATTGACTATTATTGTCTTTGCTTACAGCGGACAAAGCTCTGTCAAGATTTGAAAGTGATCCATTATTAGCTCAATATAAGCAAGCACTGGCTGCTAAAAAAGCTGTGAAAAAACAAGAAGAACAGACTTTATTGGAGAAATTAACAGAATTTATTAAAAATAAATATATTATATTTTCTAGAAGGTTTGTATATCATTTAATTAAAGCCCTTAGAAGGATTTATAATATAATGTATTCAAAATTAAATCTATTATATTTCTAGACGATTTGTACAATATAATTTAATGTAAACCACTACTTAAAAGCACCTTTTTTCAAGAAATATTATTTTTTTCTTATTAAGAAAATAAAAAAAATAAGGGACTAAATAACCTCCCATGTGAATGATGAGGTGGATGTTTGATAAAAAAAAATTTGTGTTTAAATTTTAAAAGACGAACCATTAATTACAGTGCTTTATAAAATGCACATGCTTCTTCTTATGGACACCTTGGCAAGCATATAACATGTTTGAACAGAACAGTAATTAATTTCAATATTCATTGTATATTTAGTTTCAGGTTTACAACAGGAGCATTACATAGTATTCTTTCACAAAGGCCTTTTGAAGAATTCCTAAATGATACATATTCACTGGAGAGGGACTCTATAATTCAAAGTGTTGATTTTGACTTATAATAATGCTTCAATATCATCCATTATTGTACATTCCATTCAAGGAAACATTATTAACTGACCTAATTTTTGTTTTGTCTGAAAAGATTATATATTGACAAAATGTGAACATTTAGAAAAAGATATGAAGCCTTCAACACACCTAAAAGGAACTTGACAGCTTCCAAATGTTTTAAAAAAGAGAAATGTAATCCTAAATATAATGGCAATGAATGACAATTATAGAGAATCATTAATGATAGTTATAGAAATTTATTGTAATTTCTGATACTAAAGAATGAAAATAATCATTGAATGTGCTAATATAAATATTTAGTAGATCTGACAGACGAGTCAGACATTTAGTCAGTTTGTGGCAAATACACAACATATTGGAATGAGTGTAAATGTTATTTATAGATCTGTTATGTTTTTAAACATATGTATATATACAAATGTAAAAGGATTAATTAAATGTTTGCATGGAAATTCATTGATTTAATTAATAAAATATATTATGTACATAGGCCTACTTGTATATGCACTGATTAAAGTGGCTATTCCATTTATGAAATCCTAATTTTATTCACTGTATGTAAATATTGTATATATGCTGGAAATAAATATATATTAATAAGAGATTTTTTTTTATGTTAATAGCTAATCTGGTGGTTCGTTCAAGTGGTTTTTAAGAAGGGCTGACTACTGGCCTTAGGTCCAAAGGTTTTCTTCTACCATCTCTTGAGTTTTCTTTACTGATTAGTAGTGACACATTTGTGTTGTAATAATAGAGATAGGGAACTCAAACTAATTCTTTTCATATTTTTGGAACATGTATAATAAACTCCAAAGTTATTCTCATCAATATGACATGAATCCTTTGAAGGGGCCCCCAAGGCCGCGAAAAGGGCCCCTGAATCTCAGAAAAGGACCTGTGACTTCAGTGCCCCCCACAACACACACACACACACCATTTCTATTGCCAATAACAAATTCCCACCTAAACCGACAGAAAAGTGGTCTTCAACTCGCTGCGGTAATGCGATTTTCAAAAAAAAAAAAAATGCATCATGGGGCCCTTCGGAATGAGTCACTCTGTCCTACCCGATGAGTCACAGTCGGAGCCCGCAACAGGACCCTTCGTGCCCTACGTGCCCTGGGACAAACTAGAGGTCACTTTGCTAAAACACAGAAACTGATATCTAACACAACATATGAAGTACCAAATACAATTCCTATGTTTTAGTTTTACTGATGTAATAATAATCAGATGTACATGATTTTGACAGGAAATATTTTTAAGCAAGCAAAGAAATGGTACAAAAAACGTGACCATCAGACCCCAATATATCAAAAAGGAAATTTATTCATCACGTATACTATTCGTTTATTTTTTCAATACCCAAATTCATGTTTTAATAGGTTCAAACGGAGGTGGGAGGCTGAATGGTTAACGTGCGCGCGCTGTATCATAAAGTCTGTCATTGAGTTGACTGGCGTGATTTCGAATCCCCGGTTGTACGTGACAAGGAGTAGGGTCGCCTGTCCAACCTCGTGGGTCAGTCAGTATCGATGAGAACTAGCCTCTATCCATACTCCTCGCAGTGTTTCGTTTGATTAGACCTAATCCAACTCAAACACTGCTGTAACGAAAGCAAATTTCTTTTCCAAATTATGACTGGTCAATAGTCAGATTAACAACCCAATACCTAACTCAATTAAACAGGGCCCCAGATATGTTTACATAACGTTACGATAAATTTTGCGCCCAATTAAACACTGCATAGCGGAATATTTCAGAAAACCTAATTGCGTGACAAAAGAGGCTACCAAAACGGCTCAATGGAAACAATACTGCTTGAAGACGAACAATACTTTCGCCGTTTTTAATACTTTAAATCACTGTCCAAAGTTTTAGATACAACCCCAGATTAAACGAAGGGCTGTAGTAATGTTCCTGTACTTGGGAGAGATTTGATTGAACGGGAAGAATAGACACACTCCCTCAAAAGCTCAAAAAGAAGCCAATCCAGCAATGACCAGAGAGGGATTTCTCAACACATTATCAATTGATGAAAGATTAAAACAGGTAACCAGCTTGCATGGGAAGGTTGAGTGCGGGGGAGATAACTCTATAGTGAATAACAGTAATCAAAACCAGAATATAGAGGTACTCGTGGGAGGCCAAAGGTATCTGAACAATAACAGCAGCCGCAACTACAACATTGGTTGGTATCATTATCAAAATTTTCGATTAACTACTCATAACCTAGATAATCACTATAGTGGTGTAGATCCGTCCCCGAGTTATTTTCCGCATTCTAGGACATTCTGTTTCAGAGAAACGTCAGCTTGGTATGTTACTCTGAATAGACGCATTGTATAAAACTTGCCAAATGTTTTTATTGTATATTTGTGACCACATCTCCAACTTTACCTGAGCAATAAGGCTCCTTCCAAAACTCAGAATTGAGTTCTGAGATGGTAATGTGTTCTCCATGATTTTCATGTAACTCCTGCTGCACGTGCTGTTCACCGGGACCAGCCCTATAAAATGCACCCTCATACCTGGTTGAATCCTCACACTACAACGTCAGCAGCATGCCACAACTCAAGACAGCTCAGAGGAACCAGGCGCTTGGAAGACTCGACGCTGATCACACTGCCCAAGCCGTTGCCAATCACTTCCAGGTCAATGTTCGGACCATCTACAGGCGTCAGCAACGCTTTCGGGCCTCCAACAAATGCGTCATGGAACGAGACTCATGGGGAGGTCCAAGCATAATGGTTTGGGGTGGAATCGGCCCGAACAAGAGAGTGGATCCTGTGGTGTTCCAAAATCTTGGTCCAGGGAGAGGAGGCGGCATCACAACAAACTCTCAAACCCCACGTCATACCACATTTCGCACGTCACCGAAACAACGTTTTCCAGCATGACAACGCCCATGCCCACACCGTCAGAGTTACTCGGGACTTTCTACAGCAGAACGATGTCAACGTTATCTACTGGCCAGCCCTCAGTCTGGACTTAAACCCGATTGAACATCTTTGGGATGAAATTCAGAGGAGACTTAATAACTTCGTACCGAGACCAAACACAGCCGATGGATTGCGCCAGGCGTTTCTGAGAGTGTGATTTCGGGTGCTAATGGGGGTCACCAATCGTCTGGTCCACTCCATGTACAGACGCTATTGACACACGCGGTGGACACACCAGATACTAATGTATAGACTGTGTACAGACTCTAAACTTTCCCCTAATGCCTTGGAATTGTTTTTTATCCATCTAGTAAGTCGTTTTTTTTGCTGTTTAGTATATATAATATTTCAGGAAAAGTTTGTGGTTTCTGGTGTTTGCACCGTATCCATTCTAAATGTCAATAATTTCAGCACGCGTCTTATCACCCAATACATAGTACACACTCTTAGGCCAAACTTCAAAGTCCCCCGACCGACACTATTTAATTTAGCCAAAATCGCTGATTTTTGAGCCACCAGAGCTAGTTTAGAAGTTAATGTGTGTGCAGTGAGCCTGCCAGCATAGGAGGCTTCTGGAATTTTTCAGTGTAGTAGTTTATTATTCATCCCTTGATTCTGTGAAATAAAAACCCCCAACATTTTGCCACCAAAGCTTGTTTGGGTGCTTTGTGATGCAGCGTGAGCTCGAATCCGGGTACTAGTAACTTTGCGATGATATAACTCGATACGCCAATATAGAAAGTTAATGAAATGTGGCATGTTCACACCTTACACAGCTGTCCATTTGGTGAAACAAAGATCTTGGAGCCACCAAAGCTAATTTAGAAGTTAATGTGTGCGCAGCGAGCCTACCCTAACCCGATTTCCCCATATTTTTAGTCTGTTTACGGTAATATATCTCGAAAAGCCAGCATAGACGATTTCTGAAATTTTGCTGTCTAGTTGATTTTCCGGTGTGGTTGCTCTTTGTCAGTGGTGTAGGAAGAAGGGCCTCGCAAGGGACAGCGTATTTGCAATAAATAGACAGATTCATTTCATTTAAGTTTTGAATTTTATTTGCAATTGAGAAACACACCAAAAAAGCCAATCTGATTAAAACACAGATCCCATTTCGTTTCGTTTTTTATAGTTCAAAATTACTTGTCTTTACTACACTAGGATCTGGAAGAGTTGTTATATTACCGGCGTTTTGGTTAAAGTGAGGGATAAGCCAATGAAACAGTCTGTTACGGCGACTCCTTGTCGTGCCATGAACGGGACTGTGGGTAAACCACTAGAAACTTCAACGCTGATGGATTAGGATCAAAAGCCGCTCGTACGACCACTGACACAACTTGTCAGATCTTCATGTAGTGTAGGCCATCGAAAGTATATAAAAAAAAACCGAAACGAAATATAAATCTGTATTTTAATCAGATTGCAAAATAGCAAATATATTAGGTCCCTTTAAATTTAAGAGAAAACGCAACCGTGAAGGCAGCGTAAAATTAGAAAATGATTACAGTCTCCAATTACGATTTTTTAACACAATCCATAACAAAAACAGAACCCAAATCAGCGTATTCAGTTTCTTCTGATCCTTTTAGATGATTCCAACCCTGTATAGTACAACCAGCCTGTTCCCAACATGATTTCAATTCATGTTCACTAATAGACACAGAAAAGAATTTGTGTTCTCCAACAATATAATAATTTTGGCCCAGCACCCCCACGATAACCAAATGCCCACCAACTTTAAGATATTTTGATATTTTTTTGGCAATATTTCCATACGTTTCTACATCTGGAGCAGCAGCCTCGATACAGAGACTTGATGTGATGACGTCAAACAAGGGGAAGGACGACCCGCCAAAAATATCATCTTGCAACAGATCACACGGAAATATACCACAAACTTTGGCTTTCAAATCGTCAGAACGTTTTCTCCACGATTCACTGAAATTAGAAATTAAATGAAATGGGGTTTAGCGTCCTACTGTTCTGTGTTCTATGTGGGTAATTGTACCCGGGTAGCGGCACTACAGTCTACTCTTATATCTACTTCCAAGGGATCTTTTACGTGCACGCTAATGTGTACAAGGGACCTCGGTCTTTCGTCCCATATCTTTTAATGGCATGAAATTTTTACATTGCATGTGACTCGGTTATGGCAGGTTCAATATTGCAGGTTAAGTTACCGCACATCGTATAAAATAAAATTGTGACTAGGGCTAGTTTAGTATATATTCACTGTTGCACTGAGAATAGAAATGAAACATCCTACGTTTCTGTACCAACCGGGCTAATGAAGACGGGTAAAAAACACTATGTAGTGTGTTAATTTTGCTCGGGCAATGGCGATTTCGCTTACCCCTCATCGGTTCTTCGTCCTACCAATGCTATGTGCTCTACTAAAGTTATAAAGTCAAAATGACTCTAATGACCACGACAAAGTGAAATCTAAAAAGCCGCAGTATTTCGAACCACATATATTTTATTGCCTAATCGATTTTATTTATTATAACGTGACTATATCCCCGGAATATTTCATCCAATGCATTTAATATAAATAAAATTTGAGCTCAGCCACATCTCATTTACACTTTCTGCATAGTATATACACGCAGCAACGACGTTGATATGCAAATAAAGCGCGCACACGCCAACACAGCTAGTCGACAGAAAGATTCTATCAAACCAGAACACACTAATTAAATTATGCCGATGGACATAAATTGCGTATTCAAAATGAATTACTTTGCAAAAACCTGGTTTTATCGACCAATTAAAGCCACCGATGCAATTGAATGTCTAATAATTATGACTGATCAAAACACTCTTGCACCAGTTCTCCCCCCTTAGCTTACACCTTTATTTAGCAAGATCTCGGGGAATCTTTTGATTTCATGAATATGATGAGTACTTTTGAAACGTCACTTCGAAATGCAACTTTAAGCGAAATTAATGCCGAAATCCTTCGGCTGAAACACTTCTGCGCTTATGAAAATAATCAGTACTGCGACTGCACACATCACCGGTAGTCATTAAGTAATTATCAGAAAACCATTAGTATTTGTTTGGTTTTTATAAAGTTCTGCCCCATGCTAACATTTAGTATACAAAACTTTTAATATCATGGATTTAGCTGTTCACTTTATAAAAATTAATTAAAAATCAATATACTTGTTCGTCTCAAGACCTTGAACTCTGTGTATCAATTTGAAGTCAATCTGATGATAACTTTAGCCTCTAGAGCCTTGACAAGATTTTTCAAAGTGATCAAGGGCCATAACTTTGGCAGTAATTATCGGAAATCGTTGAAAATCAATAAGATTCTTCGTCTCATGACCTCAAACACTGCGTATAAGTTTAAAGTCAATCGGATATTAACTTTAGCCTCTAGAGTGCCCACAAGATTTTTTGAAGTGATCAAGGGCCACAACTCTGGCAGTAATTATCCGAAATCGCTGAAAATGTATCTGATATTGCTGAATTTATTGGTGAATTCTGCGTCCATTTTATAACATTTCTGCAAAGGAAATCTGTTTAACGCTATGATGTTGTCAGTTCAAGAGTAAAGTGGCAGCAGTGAAACCCGTCATCACTGCATCGCAGTTGTAGTTTTGAATGTTATGGATAATATTGAGTTACAGGTTTAGATCCTTTGAATGAGATTTGAATATAATGACAAATAAGTCACAAATGCTATCTACCCAAAAGTAGGGTGGCCCAGAAGACTTAATGCTCGTCAATTTAGTAAATGTGGTCAAATCGAGAGCTAAATGACACTGCTGTAAACGACTGCTGTGTGACCAAATACCTCCTAATGCCCCCGTCAGACCGGCGTGGCGTCCTTACTGCGCTGCTGCGGTCGTACAAACTTGAAAAAAAGTCGCATTCTCATAGCTTTCCAGTTCATGCCCAAAACAAACGCGTGACCCGGCGATCATTGGCGACCATGGAGACCACAGCACGATAGCTGGCGTTTCTACCACGGTTATGGCGATCTTGACGCGCTCTAACACCAATTTCCATCGCCACGGGGGTATTATGTATACATGTATATGTATTCTGGGCTAACACATGCGAATACAGGTATTACACGTTGTCAGTTAAACTCCCATTGTGTCATTTTAGCGAAATAAATTGCTGGAAAAGTACAATATTGTGTAAGATATTGGTTGAAATTTCATCGACCTCTACTGTATTAGCGTACATTATTAAGCCGTTAGAAATTTGATATTAAGCGAAAAATGCAAATGATGCATCGTTAGATTAAAGTGATACTGTTACAATGTAAAAGTTTTAGCTACTAATCACTTGAGGATATAGAGATGTCAATTTTCGACAAAAACTGATACGAATATGTCCCAGCAAATTCCATTTTTAAAGATTGTATATTATTTCTTTGTTAAAAAGTAATTTATAATGCTACCTTTTATCGCCCAGATTTGCAAAAAAATCATATACATTTTCATAGTCTTGTTTACCAGATCCAAACAAAGCATCTTGTAGATATTTTCTATTAACCGTTGAGAAGTCTGTTAGGTATATATCTTGAACAAACGGAACTGCAGGAATAACTGAATGTGGAATAGGACCAGTTCCAATGTCAAGTAGTCGTGTGCCCTTAACATCACCTAAAGATTAAAAATTCAGCATTCATAACATTTCAGTGCAAAATACATGTAAATACTTTCAAAGTTAAAGTTCCTGTGCGAGAATTCGAGTAAAAATTTAATCTCGCGTTCTCGGCGTGAGATTCTAGATTTATCATCCTGTTTCCTCAAGTTCAACACTCCCGCACACATGAAGTCGAGATTATAAAATGTCGACAACAGGCTTCCATATCAATTATATTAACGTCTCGATGTTACTTACAAAACTACTGACCTGATTTAAAAACATCCTGTAGACCTTTTAATATAAAGGCTGCTAATCCACCCTCAACAGTATCTTCCAAAACAGTAAAAAAAGATTTAACATATACATCAGGATCAAAATGCGTATTATAATGTTCACCGAACAGAACGTTATCTTCCATTGCAGTTTGATACTATTGAGGTTATTAGCCCACAACTGCCACCGACCCACATTTGAGAGGATACTATATTATTATAAACGCGCTGGGATTGAATTCTCTCAACTGGAGATAGACCACCACTAAGTTTCCCATTGACGTCAATGTTCATTTTGGTCTCTTTGCCCGGCTCCAACTTTTCCCCAAATTTTCGTTGGGCTGGATGCTTTTCACTACAGACAGAGAAACAAATGGTCATGTCTTAGCACCAGAATTTTTATGAGGCTGATCACCAAAAGTTTGAGATACACAACCTTAAGTAGCATACTAAAAACATGTAATTATTCGACGTACATATAACCATAACCAACCTTTTAACTCTGTATATTATTCTTCCGTCTCTAAATCATGAAGATTTACCCAAACCTGGCAGAAAATGTTAATTCAAACCCCCTTCGTCCATTCAAGACCATAGACCAAAAATCAACAAAAATGGGCACGCAAAAGGGGAGAAAGAGAGAGAGAGAGAGAGAGATAGAGAGAGAGGGGGGTGGGGGTGGGGTGGAATTGCTATAAATAGACGAACTAGAACTACAGCTAGAGTGATATTTAATGGTGGTCTTCCCCCAACCTCTTATATTGATTACACTAGGGCGACAAGACATGCGCAAACTGAATATGATACTAATTAAGTCAACACTCCTGAATAAAATAAAATATAACTTTTATTTCATTCTGTATATATGTAAAAATATAATTTATGGCCTGCTCTTAGCTTGTGTTGAAAATTAAAATAATGATGGAGGTGGCAGATTTCACCGTTATGTTATTTAGAAGGAGGTGCAGTTGGTGTGCAATTTCCCCTTTGACACGAAGTTCATGTTACTGCATCCACCCCTTCATTTAGCTTTGATGGGTTTTAATGTAGATCTAGTTAACTAGGACAGTTTCATACTGTAGTTCGTAGCATTAAGTTTATATCCAAACCATGTGAGATATACAACTAACGTTTTATAAACTGTAAAAAAGTACCACCATAGAATGCTCCAAAATAGCAGAATAACCAATTTCAAACCAAAGATTTATCGGGTACATGTATTTTCATATACATGTACCATCCCCGGGCTTGTGCGTGCTTAAAGGTTAGCATTAATCATGTGCGATATCTTTTTTGATTACATAAGATGAATTACACCACCATTTCTTTTTTACTTTTTTATTTCTTTAACATCGCAGTTACAACACAGATGTGAAGAGTAAATGGCTAATAGCCATTTTTAATAGTAGATGGTCATCTTAAATGTCATCTTGGACCAGCTGATTACCCACTGGCCTTATGCAGACAACGGTTTGGATGTCGCTATGGGAAACTGATTGGACAGTTAAGGGAATCATTCGTGGATCTCTTCTACCTGATTAAAAGAATAGATTGTATTTGACAGTCACCACCACCATGAAAATCCTCCGATTTCCATTCTTATTTTTTGGCAAAACCATTACTACGATATTCTTGAGTTGTTGTAACGAGATGACAGATCATGTTGGAATCGTGTTTACTGTATTGCCTTGCAATAATATACTGAGCGCCATGGAAAACGCATCACTTTTTTCCCCAAATATTTTATTACTAGGTGGTTTTGTATATATAATATTATGCAATACTATGAACTATTGTTTCACACAATGCTCCCAAACGCAAACAATATCGGCCCGTGCGCACAAAAAAAATTGCACGAGATGCACATGAAAAACCCAATATTCACGTGCAGCATTGTGTGTGAGCCCTTTAAAAGCATGTTTTCAACCAAATGTGCAGTACATGAACTGTGAAACGTCAATCTGTCGTAATTTGTTGTTGGACGTGTGAAGGAATCGAGCTAGACATGCCAAGACTTACTGAAAATCAACGGAATGAAGCCATGGGAATGTCCCGGGTTGGCATGTCTACACGTGCTATTGCCAGACACTTCAATTGTCATCAGTCCACTATTGTAAGGTTGGTGGAACGTGTTCGAGTTACTGGATCAACAATTGACCGTCAACGTCCTGGTCCACAACGCGTTACAACTCAGGCTCAAGACCGCTAGATCCGGGTCACTCATCTGCGTGACAGATTCCGCCCAGCTACTCGAACAGTTGCAGCAGTCGTCGGAAGACAAGGACCAGTATGTGCCGTAAGACGTCGTCTAAGAGAAGTAGGACTCCGTGCACGACGACCTTATGTTGGAGCAATCCTCAGGGATCATCGCCGTCAGCGGCGTTTGATATGGGCTCAAGGACACCAGGCATGGAGAAGAGTAGACTGGCAAAGTGTGCTCTTCAGTGATGAGAGTCCTTTCATCTTTATCACGCTGATGGCCGTCAACGTGTGTGGAGACGTCTTGGGGAACGTTTTGCAGACTGCTGCGTCTTCGAAACGAATCGATGGGGTGGGGGAAGTGTAATGGTGTGGGGTGGCTTCACATTTCATCACCGGACCGCCCTACACATTTGCAGGGGTCGCGTTAATGCTGTAGCCTACCGTGATGATGTCTTGCAACCAATTGTTGTTCCGAGCGCACCCACAACTTCAGCACTTCCAACAGGATAATGCACGTCCGCATACCGCCCGTTTTAGTATGGACTACCTGGCTGCTAACAACATCAATGTCTTGGACTGGCCAGCCATGTCTCCGGACATGGCACCGATAGAACATGTCTGGGATGAGACCACAGATGCACACCATTGCTGCTTTAGAAGCTGCTCTTGTCCAAGAATGGAACAATTTGCCCCAGGCCTTCTTTCAAACATTGGTTAATTCCATGCGACGTCGCTGCACAGCGTGCGTAGGAGCCCGTGGAGGACACACGCGCTACTGACATCTGTGTCGTACTTTTGGTGTTGACCCCTTTGACTTTGTACCGTTGATTACAGATTAAACATCCAAATATGTACAAATGTGTTGTTATTGATGTGTTCCCATTTGAATATTGTTCACAATAAGAAGCAAAATAAATAAGATATGTTTACAGGATCATTTTATTATACGAAAAACTAAGTGATGCGTTTTCCATGGCGCTCAGTATATATCAACTAAATGCCGCTTCTGAATAACTTGCCGCTAACCGACAATTTGTTGCATCATTAAAATTAGTTAATTGTATTTCAAAATTTTCAAAAATTCACAAAGAAAGCGAATATATTAGTACTTTTAAATACAAGATTAACACGCAATGGTAACATTAGAAACACGATATTATTTGTAGTTTAAAGTAGCTAAGTCTCTAACTCATTATCATCCGAAGTCTTCGACATTGAAAACACAAACTATTTGTCAATTTAAATCAACACTGATGTTGTGATCTTACCCAATTGTAACAAGGGACTCGAAGAACGAGGCTAGACATATTCCACGGGTCATGTCAAACAGTGACGACATATTCTTATCTGGAGAGCATGCACAATAAATATTATTTGTGTAGACTAGAATAACAAGACGCTATTTGATTAAGACTTCTGGCGTATTTCGCCGAACATAACTGATTTAAAATAAGACCAAAAACGGAAGTGATTGAACGTAAATTAGTTTATATACATTCATATACATTATTATACGCATTGCGACCCAATTGTGCCAATTTCTAGGTCCAAAATATTAGCGATTCAGCTTCTTTAACCAGTTACGATTTCTTAACACAATGCATTACAAAAGCAGTACCAAAATCAGCGTATTCATTTTCTTCTGGTCCTTCCATATGATGCCAACCCTGTAAAGTACAACCAGCCTGTTCCCAACACGATTTCAATTCATGTTCACTAATAGACACAGAAAAGAATTTGTGTTCTCCAACAAAATAATACTTTTCGTCCAGTACCCCAACGATAACCAAATGTCCACCAACTTTAAGATATTTTGATACTTTTTTGGCAATATTCCCATACGTTTCTACATCTGGAGCAGCAGCCTCGATACAGAGACTTGATATGATGACGTCAAACAAGGGGAAGGACGACCCGCCAAATATATCATCTTGCAACAGATCACACGGAAATATACCACAAACTTTGGCTTTCAAATCATCAGAACGTTTTCTCCACGATTCACTGAAATAAGAGTAAGGTTATATGTTTATATAACATGACATTATGCGTGAATGTATAAATGGAATGGTGACTTTAACTATGGGCTAATGAAGAAAAGCTTACACCGTAGTGTGTACTGTAGGGGAATTTTGCCCGGACATCAGTTGTTTTCTTTTTAAGTACACCCCAACGTGTACACGGGACGTTGGGTTGTCGTCCCACCCGAAGGAGGTGGGGCATGGGGAGTGGCCGAAGGTTTTAAGATCTGTCATTGAATCAAGTGGTGTAGTTTCGATTCACCGCTTGTACGTGGCAAAGAGTAGGGTCTCCTGTCCAACTACGTGGGTTTTCTCCGGGTGCTCTGGGACCTGCCTGCGAACATAAAATGTATATCGGTTACATTCGATCAGCTGATTGTGGAATTGGCATATTTTTGGTATTTTTTATTGCTGTTTTTTGTTTCGTTTCTACGTTACAAAGTACCCCTTTGTCATCATCTAGAACGCAATAATTAAAATTTCAAGTCGTATTAAACGGTAGTATTTTAAGTATAATATAATTTTAATATAATTATTTATAAGGTTTTACCAAATCCGAAAAACTAGTATGAACATATACATGTATTAGCGGTGACTCACTTGTGGACATATCCATTTAAATTCATGTATTCAAACTGATATGCATATAGCCATACTAAGGGTAAAGTCTTGATTACGCTGAAAAAAATCCCACTCACCAAAAAAGTTTCTTTGTTAGAAAGTGATTCATAAACCTACCCTGTATCGCCCAGTTTTGCAAAAAAATCATATACATTTGCATAATCTTGTTTACCAGATCCAAACAAAGCATCGTGTAGATATTTTCTATTAACCGTTGAGAAGTCTGTTAGGTATATGTCTTGAACAAAAGGAACTGCAGGAATAACGGCGTGGGGAATAGGACCAGTTCCAATTTCTAGTAGTCGTTTGCCCTTCACATTACCTAAAGATTAAAAAGTCTATGTAAATTACACTTCATTGTCAAATACACGCGTTGACGTTGTGAAAATTTAGATCAAATTTTAATTTCATCACATTCCCTCAATTAGAATCAAAGCTATGGTTCCAAAAGCATCGACAAAATCAAGTTGCTTATCTATGCTATATAGATATATATAGCCTTATTATATTTGCGTGAACAAGAAAATGACCACGGGTTTATTTGGACTGATATTTTTATTAAAGATTCAACTTTCAAAATATTGCAAGTGATTCCTATTAATGAAACTGTACTCTCTCAAGTCTGTCACTGCACTCTCGTCCAATTAGAATCCGGTAAATGTTCAGCATTCAATTCCGACCAGGCACCAAACTAATAAGTCTGAACATTCCGCCTTAGAGAGAGGAATTAACGTCTACTCGACACAAACTAGGTCATTTC